TTTTAACCAGTTAAAATACATTTTAAAATGTAGAACATTTTTCAGACAAATGTAGTCAACATCAATACCTTTAAAGTTTATCTAAACTATATTAATATAGTAGTGTAATACGTAGTTATATAAATTTGAGCATGAATTTCACATATTTATGCTGTAACAACTTAAAATTAATTTAGCAAAAAATAATCGATTTAGTTAATTATAAATAAGTTTATTTATCACAATAATGGCTTTGCTCAACAATAATATTTTATGATGTATAAAAAGCGTTTGATTTTGACTTTATAAATTTCATTACAAAATAATCGTATCATTTTTAATTTATTTTGAAATTAAAATACAAGTTTGTTTGTCGTAGAATAATTGAAAATTTGAACTATAAACATTAATATGCATTATTATTTCAGGAGGTTCGCGGTGAATACGAAAAAGAAAACAAAAATATCACAACTTTAATTGAAAAATTACATAAAAAAGAAAAGAAACGATTATTAAATGAATTTATTGATAGTGATCTAAAACAATGGAATGTAATAGGAGTAGAACTAAAAGATTCAATCGAATCTTTCATAAAGGCATCAAAACAATTACAAAGTTATCATAATTTAAAGGATTCAACGAATGATTGGCTTAAAAGTAAGATCGAATCGCTTGAAACGTCGGATGATGTTTCTGGTGACACAACGAAATGTTTTGAAAAACAAAAACAAATTATTGAAGAATTACGTAATATGATAACAAATATTAGTGAAACGATTGGTCTTAGTTCAGACGACATACCATTAACTGTTGAAGTAGAAGAACTAAACGTGAAACTTGAAAAAGTTCAAAAGATTATTATCGCACTAGGAGACGTTTCAGACAAAAAAAATAAGATTTCACACGATGTCGAACATGCAAAGCAGCTCTTGCACGATATTGAAAAAGTAAAGAATACTACAACTGTACTTGACCGTTTCTTTATAGTATTAAAAAATAATGTAAAATTTTAGAAACAACACGCAGATTTTTTTTATATTGGTTATTGATTCGACCTAAATACTATTAATTCGTTCTGATAAAACTTTTAATGGCTTCTAAAACTTAAAATAAAAATCGTGCAGTATTCAATAAAAACAGTTAATAGTATATTTTTGATACAACAAATGTGATTATTCTTGTAAAAAAAATATTCACACATAACAACCATAAGTTGACATTTTTTAATATAAAGAACAATATTTAAACAATAGGTGTCGTCTTTATGAATGTTAAAAAATCCTATGACGTAACTTAATCTTTATGTTATTTTACAGAGTTCAACAAAAAATATAGAAATAAACAATGAAAGTCTTGAGGAATTAAGAACCAAGCTAATGAATTTAAGCGACTCTAAAAAAGCTATAGACAAATCTTTAGATCGAGATATTTTTGACACTCCTTTAAATGTAATACGATCAAACTCAATAGTAGAAGTATTCCAGGTAAATATCATACTATATACATTATTGAATTTTTCTTTTTATACTTATTTTGTTTTTTAGCATTGGCAACAAATATTCAAAGAGACTTTTGAGCAATACCGTAGACTTTCATGCTCTTTACTAGAAAACGAAAATAATAACTCAGTACTAGAGTTATGGCACGATTATCTTATGTATGTACAAGAGTTTTTAAATTCTCCTATGCCTGGTGACTATCACTCATTAACTAACCATGAACGACTTTGCCAAGTNACATTAACTAACCATGAACGACTTTGCCAAGTTCATCAAGAAGTTCTCAACAGTCAACTTGATAACTTAACAACATTTGTTAGCAAACCCGACATAATTTCTGAACCGTCTATAATTGATAAAATTAAGTCTTTGACGGAATTACATAATAATATTATGACTCA